GTCTTTGTAAATACTTCCAAAAACATTTTTTACAGTAATCAATAATTATAGTTTTTAGGTTTTATTTGATTAAAATATTACAATTTTAAAGTTTTATCGTTTTATAGCACCTAATTTAATTTAAAGCAACAAATGTTAAATAAACCGTTTGCATGGTATTAAACATTTAATTCTTGATATATATTAAATACTGATTTTTAAATCTGTGACATATAATTTATGTAGAAAATAGTTATATTAATTTATGTAGAAAATAGTTATATTGCACTCAAAAATTAAATTGGTCATTTTTAAGAATAGTTATGCAAATAAGCAAGCGTTTATGTTTAAGTCAATAATTTTCGATGTAGATGTAATATTATTACACAAACGAGATCGGTTGGGCTCAGGCGGATACGAAAATATATGAAGAATCCTTTAATTCGCCTATTTTGCTAGTTTAACCATTTCGTCGAGTATCGACGGACAGAACAGAAACAGAAATGTAGCAACCATGTGAGACATTTAGGATTCTGTACATTCTGTACATTAGTATGTACATGTGAGACATTTAGGACTCTGTACGGCAACTGTACATTCGTCAGAAATACCGGAACTTGCCTAATTAACATTTTTTTGTCATTATTCACAATACGAAGGCACAGTGGGTGAAATTATAGACTGACTACTTTCTCAACGATTTCGGTGATATTTGAAGCGTAATAATATCTAATAATGTTTAACACAACACCGGATTCTCAGTGACCACAATTTCTTGGTACATAAATTCCACCTTTTATTATCTATCACTCCTGAAACATTACGGAGTACAGCAGTGTGTAATGTTATTTACATATTTCAAATCAAAAGATTCCACTTTCATTCTATAAATGTGCCGTAGCGATTTGATTGTCCTATATCATTCAACGCATTGCAGAAATCTCGCCACTTTTGTTCAGAAATTTTATCTTATGTTATTTTAAATTCCTGATGTTATGCCGATTTCCAGTAAGTGAATAAAGTACACTTATGATCATTCAAAGCTTGCTACATTCTTTCAGTATATCATATATATTTTATAGCCTAATGATATGATACGCATCACGAAGCTAACAACGAACACCATTTGTTTGTACATAAATATCCAATAACATTATCTTTAGCGGCTGAAATATTACGTAATACAGCAACGTGAAGTGTTGTTTATATATGTCAATACAAAATTTTCGCAATTCATTCTGTCACTACACCACATCGATTTTATTGTCTTTATTTTCTACAAATTGCGGGTTCGCAATGAACGAATTTGTTTCTACGTATATAACATTAAGTATTATTTACTGAGCCTGTGTTATTGCGGATTCCCTGTACGTGGTATGAGGTTTACAAATGACCATTCAAAGTCTTCGACATTCATTTTGTCAATACATTATATCGATTTTATGACCTTATAATATTCTACGCATCACGGTGTTCACAATAGCAATCATTTCTTCGTACAAAATTATCTTCTAGTAACATCTATCGCGCCTGCAATATCACGGAGTACAACACGGAGTGACATGTTGT